TTCCATCGTCCTCCTGCCAGAAGTTAGAATTGATCCAAAAGTCTCACCAATGATAAATCCCTTTTCTTGTGACCACTCAGTTCAAAAATGTTTATTTTAACGCCATTTCTTTTTCTTTGATAATATGAGACTCTACCCCCTTGATTACTGCTTCACAAATTGGATGAAACGGTTTGTTGCTGGTTAACCTGGAAAAATCAAGTCTGATAGCAGCAGACGGTGCCATCTTAAAGTGAATTTGAGTGCAGCAAGGATCGTATTAAGGGGTATAAAGAAATATATCTAGTATGTAGATGATATGTTCATGAGCATTAATTTGCAGTTGCCAGTAATGATTTCCTTATCTACCACCAACTTTCATCAGCATTTTCTGATGCCAGCCATAAATTATCAATGAATTCAAGTTCAGAATCAGCCATGCTGGAATTTTAACTTGGAAGTTCCAGATTGCTCATTCAATTCCGTATCCACTATTTATGTTTCTTTGTGCCTAGATTTTCTCTCACCATCAATTCTGTTTACTGTGAAATCTAAAAACAATTCTCAAAATGAGTTACTCAGAAGAGTTATAAACAATAGCTGTATGTCCTCATGCCCAAAAGAGCAGGTGCCTAAATGTAAGATTGAATTCCTTTCATAACCCAAATCAGATAATATATAACTTCATTTTGTCAGATTAAATTTATCAGCTGAATTCTCCTAACAAAACGTAACATTTTCCACCACTAACTAATCATCGTGATCACAACTGCATTAAAAAGCCTTCTGCATTTGGCTACAGTTCCATTATAGATTCATTTAAACATAGAAGATTTAATTCAATCAGTCACTGTGCTGCTGACAACCACAAACAGCCAAGGATTGATAGAGATGTAGAATCTGCAGCAGTTTCCAAATAAATGGGGCAAAAGATGATATTTCGTCATTTTGTTTGTTTCTGCGTTAACCCTGACTTACTGGCATACTGCTTCTCTTAAAAGGAAATAATGTAGTGATTTGCAATTGCATGCCACCCATTTTCTGCATGTACAATGATGGTCAGCAATTGACCACAAGATGCATGAATAGACTTTTGGCCCAAAGGCTGTGTCCTGCCATTCAGTGAAATCGTAGCTGATCTGATCATCCTCATCTCCACTTCACTGCCTTTTCCCATAACCCTCAGAGGAAGGGACGATACCACTGTATCACAAGATCCCCCCTCTCCTAATCGTCTTAGTTATTATGTATAACCAGCCAATGTAATTGTACCTAATGCTACCATGCACCAAACTACAGCTTGTTAAAACAAGTGCCTCTTGTCATTAAGATTCATTAGTAGTTCATCCTCTACCAATGTTAACTAAATAGGTACTTAGACTGAGCAAGTGGGAGGTGATGGCCTAGTGGTAATGTCACTGGACTCATAAACCAAAACCCTTAGTTAATGTTATTATAGAGTCTGAGTTATTACTGCGCAGAAAGAGGCTTTTTGGCCTGTGTCTACACTGGTCTTCATACTTCCATCAATTCTAATTTCATTTTACAGCAATTGGCCTGTAAAAGTGTAAGCTATGGTGTTTCAGGCGTTCATCTAAATAGTCTTAAATGTCTTGAGCATTTTTGCCTTTACAGTGAGTTCCAGGTACCCACAACACTCTGAGTAAAAAGTGTTTTTCTCAGGTCCCCTCTGAACTTCCTGCTCCTTATCTTTTAAACTGTCTCGGTTGTTGACCCCTTTACAAAGGGAAACAATTCCCTTCATCTACTATAACTTTGTACACCTCAGTCAGTTCTCCTCTCAGCCTTCTCTGCTTTACCGAAAGCAACCCCAGCTTATCTAGTCTCTCATCATAGCTGAATTGCTCCAGCCTAGGCAACATTCTGGTGAAACTCCTCTGTACCCTCTCTAGTGCAATCACATTCTTCCTTTAGGGTGGTGACCAGAACTGCACATAGTCCTCCAGCTGTGGCTTAATGTTATATACAGCTCCACCATCATCTCCTCGCTCTTCTATTCAATGCCTTGTTCAATAAAAGCAAATATCCCATATGCTTGTTAGCCACCATATCGGCCTGTGCTGCTGCCTTCTAGGATCTGTGGATAAGCACACCAAGGTCCCTCTGATCTTCTATATTTGTTGTGATCTTACCTTTCAATATCTACTCCTTTGCATTGTTAGTCCTCCTGGCTTATGTCAGGAGGCTAATTTGACAACAACTTAAATGTGCAAATCAAAGTCTTCCAGTGTTTTGGGCAAAAACAAAAGATCCATCTAAATATATCTTTATTTATCACCAGTATGCAGCAAAGATGCTAGCTCTACAAAATTATTTACATATTCTGATCTTTTTTTAAAATATTCATACATCTTTTCTGGAGACATGTAGTACAGTACTTGTGATGAGTAGGCAGAATATATTGAAGCATATTCTGCTTTATAACTACCTTTTTTAAGCAACAATGTAATATGAAAGAAACCTTTGAGAAATAAAATGGAAGATGTTCCAGCTGTAACATTCACAGCTGTTTACATGATTTTAATTTAAAACCAACCTCAAATAGTCACTTTTTTATGTTGTGAATTTTCTGAGTGTAAAGGTGATGGGATCAGAGCTGAGGACATTTATGTTTTCCAGGCACTGTCAAGCATAGAGTTTTAATTACAGAGCACCAAAAAGTAGAAATGTGGTAATGCTTTCTCTACATCACTTTTAGGTAGCTTCACTCAGCTTTCACCTTCAGAAGACTATTTGCAAATTCGTGCATTTCACATTTCTTTTCATAGTGACAGGCATCCTTATGCCATAAGAGATGGGGCATCAACTAACGTCAAACTCTAATACTATTGGCTCCTGCCTGGTAGAAATTGGTTGAAAATTTGAATGAACTTTTGTATTATTTTTTTCTTTCATATAAAAATGAATCATTGTGTATCTCTGTCATACATCAGAGTTTTTTTCTCTTTTAAAGATGTGGCATAGGGCCAGACATTATGCCCACACAGTTGCAGCACGTTCTATAACTATCTAGCAGGAGTCCATCAGAGCAGGTGCAAATTTGTTCATTTCCTATAAATGTACATAGTTTCAAGAAGGTCAAAGCCTCTACCAATTGAGTCCCTACAATGTGGAAAGAGGCCATTCAGCCCATCACGTCTGCACCAATTCTCCAAAGAGCATCCCACTCAGCCCCAGCCCCCTACCATACCCCTGTAATCCCACATTTATCATGCCTAATCCACTTAGCCTGCACATCCCTGGACACTATGGAGTAATTTCGCCTGACCAATCCACCTAACCTACAAGTCTTTGGACTGTGGGAAGAAACTGGAGCACGTGGTGGAAACCCATACAGACACAGGGAGGACATACAATTTCCACACGTAGTCACCCAAGGCTGGAATCGAACCCGGGTCCCTGCACTGTGAGGCAGCAGCGCTAACCACTGAACCACCATGTCACCCAGTTACTAATACCCAAGTATCTTTCTCGGAAGAACCTTGAGCAAGGCTTGCAAGAAAACAAAAATCGAGTTTCCCGTTGCTGAGCTATTACTCGACACCCAGAAATTAATTAATACAGATATGTCTGTTCTTAGAAATTACGTATGGAGGTCAACCACCCCAATCATAATCGTCAGTGCTCAATAGCTAACAAGTATGATTCTGCATCCAGGAAATTCCATGTCCCTGGGTCATGGGTCTGTAGGTTTGATCTGTAGCGCACTCATCCTGCAATGGCACATGTGACAGGTATTTCCAGGAGGTGGAATTGGTCCTTGGACTCAAGATTATTGGCATTCCTTTCTCAGGTTCCTTTTCCATACCTCACTTTGACAACAGGTGTTCCTAAAGAATTGTATCCCTTGGAGGATCCTCCAAGTCACTTTCTTCTGAGCAAGGGTCCTCGAGCCACTGATGCCACTTGAGACAAGCCTTCAGGGAGGGAGTCTTTGAAGCACTTCCTTTGTCCTCCTCTTGCTCGAGTACCTTCCTTGAACTGGATGAAGATTTGCTTTGGCAGTCAGAACTTAGGGTTCCTAAGTAAGTGGTCAGCCCAGCAAAGTTGGTATAGAACGATCATGGCCTCGATGCTGGTGCTGTTGGTTCCATCAATGACACTGATGTTAGAACACCTGTCCTCCCAGCTGATATGGAGAATTCATCTCAAACAGCATTGATAATACTTCTCTAGGACCTTGAGATGATGTCTGTACATAGTGCAAATTTCTGAGCCAAATTGAGAAGAGTTGGAAGGACTTATACACATGAATCTTCATATCAGCACAGCTGTTGAAAACAGTCATTCTTTAGATGTTCAAAGAAGGCACTCGCTGTTTGGATCTCCACATCATTGTCAGCCTTAGTTGAATGGTGACTCCCCAGTTAGGGAAAACGTTCTCCACTTGGGAGAATTCCTCCGTCAATCTTAACGGAAGAATAGACTGGAACTTGTCTTGGGACAGTTTGCTAAAGCACTTGAATCTTCTTGAATTTGAAGCTGAGACCAATTCTTCCGTATGTTTCCGCAAAGGCTTTAAGCGAGGCTTGAAGACTCTCTTTCAAGAGAGCAAACATGACGTTGTCATCCACATACTGAAGTTCTACAAACGATGTCAGTGTCATTTTCTTCATGGATTTCAACTGGTTGAAGTTGAAAAGTTTTCCATCCATCCTGCAGACAACATCTACACCTCTGGGAAGCTTGAACTTTGAATAAATTCTAGGTCTGCTGAATTTATGGTCCTGTGAGAAGTGTGCCATGAAAGTTGGACAGTCATTTTTGTGATTCCAACATGTACATATATTGCATGAACATCAATTATTGGTATGTATTTTCAGGTAACAAAATACGGCAGAAGACATTTTCAATACATTTTAGATGCAATGACTTCTTCATTTCTCTTTTTTGAGTAAATCGCTGAAATATATATCCCCTAATAATCCAATTGTAAAGTAATTGCGGTACAGTTGACCTTCTTGGGAGAAATTCAAGTGATATTTCTTCTTTTGTTCTAGGAGCACTTCATGGATGTGATCAGGAATCAGGAGTTTCTACTGCTGCCTGCAAATGAGATAGTTAAACTGTTGGCTAGTGATGACATGAATATACCAAATGAAGAAACCATATTGAATGCACTGCTTAGCTGGGTTCGGCATGATGCAGATAACAGACAAAAAGAACTTAGCAAATTGCTGGCTTACATCAGACTTCCTCTGCTGTGCCCTCAGGTAAATTACATCTTTCTTTAAACTGTTACTTAGTTGGTTCCATTAATTCATTTAAAGAGTTAATGTCTTGGCAATGATAGTTGGCAAACCTTTAATTTCAGAAAGAACAAAAATCATCAACAGATTTGTCATGAGAACATCCATGAGTGTGATATGTGGTGTATTAATTTGACTCAAGTTATGGAGTCTGTGGGGATGCTTTTCATCTGAATTTTCATCATTCTGTTCCATGGAGAGAGATGCTGGTGAACTGTTCTCTTGAACCATTGCAGTCCTTGGGCTGTAGGAACAGTCACAAGGCAGTTAGGAAGGGAATTGCAGGATTTTGTCTCAGTGAGAGATATAGTATGAGTTGATGGTAGTTGTCTTTTTCCTAAGATGGGCAATTTCAAGTCGAGGGCGCACATTTGTAAGATAAGAGGAGAGAGATTTAAAAAAGACATGAGACAAATGTTTTTACACAGAGGGTGATTCACGTATGGAATGAACTTCCTGATGAAGTGGTGGATGCAGTTACAATTACAATATTTAAAAGGCATTAGGATGAATATATGAATAGGAAAGGTTTGGAGGAATATGGGCCTGGAGCAGGCAGGTAGGACTAGTTTACTTTGGGATTATGTTTGGCATGGACTGGTTGGACTGAAGAGTCTGTTTCTGTGCTGTATGACTCCTTAACTCTATGACTCTAAAAGTAACAGTCACATGTTGAACTTGTGTGAAGAGAATCTATTGAGTTGATGTGTAGACTTAGAATCATAGAATCCCTACAGTGCAGAAAGAGGCTAATTGGCCCACCGAGTCTGCACTGACCCTCCGAACAGCAACACACCCAGACCCGCCCCCCAACCCATCCCTGTAACCCTGCAATGACCTAGTGGTATCGTCGCTGGGCTGTTAATTCAGAGACCCAGATAATGTTCTGGGGACCCGGGTTTGAATCCTGCCACAGCAGATGGTGGAATTTGAATTCACTAAACATCTGGAATTAAAAATCTAATGATGACCATGAATCCATTGTTGATTGATTGTCAGGAAAAACCCATCTGGTTCACTAATGTCCTATAGGTAAGGAAACTGCCATCCTTACCTGGTCTGGCCTACATGTGACTTCAGACCCACAGCAATGTAGTTGACTCTTAACTGCCCTCTGGCCAATTAGGGTTGGGCAATAAAGGCTACCTAGCCTGTGATGCCGTCATCCCGTGAATGAACAAAGACTAAAGAGCATGGCCAATCCCTCCTAACCCGCACATCATTGTGCTGTGAGCGAAAACCGGACCACCCGGAGGAAACCTATGCAGACACTGGGAGAACGTGCGGACTCCACACAGACAGTCACCCAAGGCTGGAATCAAGTCCAAGATGCTGGCTCTGTGAGGCAGCAGTGCTAATCACTGAGCCACCTACTTATGTCAAAATTCCTTCTGATTCTAGGCAGAGTATGTTGCCCCAAGTGTCATGGTCTGTGAATCCTTCTGAAAAATATTTTGAAGATAACAAGTATGGTGTAGCTGTAAAATCATTTTAATGTTATCATTTGATCACTTCTGGCACTGCTGCCAGCTCATTGGATCCAGACTCCAGGAATTGACCTTCCTGGTAATCTGCTTCCATTCTCTTCACAGAGTGGTCCTTGAGGGCCATCTATTCCATCAGTAGACCAGGACACCTCTTTTCCTGTCCGCCTGCAACCTCCATCTTTCATCAGTCTCAATGGAACCCTCTGTCTGCCTCACTGTTCATTGCCCAAAAAACTTGAATACAGCAATGTTTTTGACCAGCTTCCCTTTAAGAGATGTACTGCTTTTAAGAAACAGCAGGCTGCTTGTATCGTACAATCAGCAAATGATGCTGCTGGGGCTCCCTGCTGTGTAAATAGGCTCCAGGCTTCTCCAAGATCAGAAAAGCAGTCAGGCAGCTGCTTGGCGCAGCGCTACGATTGAGAAAATAAGGTGGATACATCAGAATTGCATTGTTCCTAATTCATACAATTTCCTTGCATCTTTGCAGGCACAGCATGTGGGAGGTGGGGCTGGCTCTTGGTTCATTACTTGTCCACATCTAAAAACAAGTTGTATTTCTAGGCACTTTGTGTTACTTTAAAGAGCATTCTAGCTGATAATACTGAATAGCATGTGAACATAATGCATATTTCTGTAGGCGAGTGGAATGTTGGGTTAAAGAAAATCCACACATGAAGGGGGAGTATTATAATATTTAAGTGATGCAAGACTGAAGGTATCTCCCTCACCTTTTTTCAGCCTTTATGTCTGGTACCAGCCCAACTCCAAATTATGCCCATATAAATGGGTGTCTAGGATTACTAAGCACTGAACTGTTATGTACAGGGGAATTTAAAGGGCCAGTTGGAAGATCTGAATGAAATGAATTGACTCTTGACGTTTTGCGTGCTCTTGTTATTCTTGGCATAGTTGTCAGTACTTGTATATCTTTATTTGTTAGATATGGTGTCTGTTATTGGAGTTGTTTGACCTTCCTCTTTGCCTCATAGAAGTAAATAAATATGGGTTCTGTTAGTTGCTATCTTTAGCCTTTCTTAGAGGATTGTAATTCATATTGACTGCTGTGAATGTATACAAGAGGTGACTAGATATAGCACTTGAGGCAAATGGGATCATAGGTTATGGGGAGAAAGCAGGATTAGGCTTTTGAGTTGGACAATCAGCCAGGATTGTGAAGAATGGTGGAACAGGCCCAAAGGGCCAAATGGCCTCCTCCTGCTCCTGTCTTCTATGTTTCTATATGGGCTGTTAAAGTTCATTTTCAAAGTTGCATCTTTTATGTCAAATGGTAAAGTGTCAAAGGCTGTTTGATCAAAGTAGCCTCATAGTTTAGTCTGATGCAATCTAGGCATATGCTATAATGGACACAAAGTTGCAACCTGTTTATGTTGAAGATTTGACACATGAAATTTTAGCTAGACTGTGTATTGGAAATTTAACCTGGGTTCTATTTTGATTTTTCGGAGAAGATAAATGTTATTTTTGTGCACTGAAGAAGCAAGGCAAATGGATACGGGTGCTGGGCAAGTTAATGGGGCTAAAGGTAGACAAGTCTCCTGGCCCTAATGAAATGCATCTCTGGGTTCTAAAAGAGGTGATGGGGGAAATAGCAAATGCACTAGTAATTATTTACCAAAATTCACTGGACTCTGGGGTGGTTCCCACAGATTGGAAAACAGCCAATGTGACGCCACTGTTTAAAAAAGGAAGTAGACAAAAAGCAGGTAACTATAGGCCAGTTAGCTTAACTTCAGTAGTGGGGAAAATGCTTGAACCTATCATTAAGGAAGAAATAGCAAGACATCTGGATATAAATTGTCCCATTGGGAACACCCAGCATGGGTTCATGAAGGGTAGGTCATGTTTAACTAATTTGGTAGAATTCTTTGAGAACATTACTTGCATGGTGGACAATGGGGAACCTGTGGATGTGGTGTATCTGGATTTCCAGAAGGCATTTGACAAGGTGCCACACCAAAGGCTGCTACATAAGATAAAGTTGCACGGTATGACAGGTAAAGTATTGGCATGGATAGAGGATTGGTTGACCAGTCGAAAGCAAAGAGTAGGGATAAATGGGTGTTTTTCTGGTTGGCGGTCAGTGGCTAGTGGTGTGCCTCAGGGATCAGTGTTGGGACTGCAATTGTTTACAATTTACATAAATGATTTGGAGTTGGGGACTAAGTGTGGTGTGTCAAAATTTGCAGATGACACTAAGGTGAGTGGTAGAGCAAAGTGTGCAGAAGACACTGAAAGTCTGCAGAGGGATATAGATAGTCTAAGTGAGTGGGCAAAGGTCTGCCAGATGGAGTACAATGTTGATAAGTGTGAGGTCATCCATTTTGGTAGGAATAACAGCAAAATGGACTATTTTTTAAATGGTGAAAAATTGCAGCACGCTGCTGTGCAGACGGACTTGGGTGTCCTTGTGCATGAATCGCTAAAAGTAGGATTGCAGGTGCAGCAGGTAATTAAAAAGGCAAATGGAATTTTGTCTGGCATTGCTCGAGGGATGGAGTTTAAAAACAGGGAGGCTATGCTGCAGCTGTATAGGGTCCTGGTGAGGCTACATCTGGAGTACTGTATGCAGTTTTGGTCTCCTTACTTGAGAAGAGATATACTAGCACTGGAGGGGGCGCAGAGGAGATTCACTCGGTTGATTCCAGAGTTGAGAGGGTTGGATTATGAGGAGAGACTGAGTAGACTGGGATTATACTCATTGGAATTCAGAAGAATGAGGGGAGATCTTATAGAAACATATAAAATTATGAAGGGAATGGATAAGGTGGAGGCAGGGAGGTTGTTTCCGCTAGCAGGTGAAACTAGGACTGGAGTGCATCGCCTTAAAATAAAGGGAAGCAGATGTAGGACTGAGGTCAGGAGGAACTTCTTCACCCAAAGGTTTGTGAATCTGTGGAATTCCCTGCCTAGTGAAGCGGTTGAAGCGACCTCGCTGAATGTTTTTAAGGCAAGGCGAGATAAATTTTTGAACAGTAAAGGCATTAAGGGTTATGGTGAGTGGGCGGGTAAGTGGAGCTGAGTCTCAAAAAGATCAGCCGTGATCTTATTAAATGGCGGGGCAGGCTCGAGAGGCTGGATGGCCTACTCCTGCTCCTCGTTCTTATGTTCTTCTAAACTTTGTCTCAAAAATTTGGCTTCATTTTGAGAAAAGGAAGGTCACTTCTGTGTCATTACCATGAAGAAAACTTATCAATGCACAGTTTTCTAACTATTGCCTCCGGTGTCTGTAAAGGTAATTTTAGGTAAGTTTGGTGCTGTGATGGGAAATTGAACTCTCAAACTGTGATTGCCAATAACATTAAAGCTGTTGTAAGACAGGCAGAGGCTCCAAAGCAGTTGTGTCTTGCATTCTTCAGAATGCTTACTTGAGCATGGTTTGAAGACATCTGACATTGTTGCCATTTTGTTTAGTGTCCAGTATGACTCACCATGACAGTTTTTAATCTTGAAACA